CCCCCCCCCCCCATTTTTTTTTTTTTTGTTAAGTGACACTACTATTGTGCCATTTTTGAGATATAGAACAGATCCGCACATCAAAACAATGACAAATACATGTATATTTGGAGAACCTAATACTAAGGTGAAAAAAGATACGATGTGCATTGAAATAATAGTTTCTGAGAAAAGTGAAAGTTTTGTTAAATATTGTGTTCATTTTATCAAATTTGTTTTTCAAGTCAAATTCCTACAAAAAATCTCGGTCGTGCTTATGCACAACTGCACAAGTCAGCGGTGTTGACTTCTGCAAATCACGTAATCAAGTTATTCTGATTGACATAATGTACTGTATGCAAATTTTGTGATCTGTTAATTAATTGAGCTGTCCTGTTCCATATAACCGTAACTGTACTTTCCGGCTTAATTACAAACTAACTTGTGTATAAATTAATTTTAGTTTTTGAATAAGCTAATTTTGTTTTTTATTTTTATTTTCTTCTCTATAAGTACTTAAAGAGAAATTTATGTAAACAGGCCCATAATTGATTATGCTTTTTTAATGAATGCATTGAAATGATACTGCTGGAGGTATTACAATTTTCTAATTAGTATTTTCATATTTTGGAAATTTCACAAAAGAACTAATGCTCCGATTAATGCTTTTTAAATAGTTTTGGTGAAACTTCATCCTGCTGAGAATACAAATTTTACTTTCAGTTGGAGAAAGAGGCCTTTGTAAAGGGTGTTCCAATAGGACAAGCTCTTGATATAGACATCCCCCCTCCACGGCCGAAAAGAAAACCAAATAATCCTTATCCCCGGAAGACCAATGTTGGTGACCCAACATTACATAATGGAGTAAAGCATGGGAAGTCTCTCGTTTCAATTGCATCTTCACACAGTAAACAAGCACTGGACTTGGAGAAAGAACCACTTCCAGAGGTTATATTTGTTTTTTTTTTTTATATTTCACTCGTCATTTCAAATTTTCTGTTATTTTTTTTTTCCTTCAATGAAATCATTCCGCTTGTTCATATATAGAAGCATAATAAGGATGAAAGCTGCTCAAAAGTATTTACCATTATCAGGGAGGCACCCTGTTCATCTGTATCTTCCGCAAACAAGAATTCACTATCAATGTCAGTGCCGCTGAGAAATTCATGCGCCTTAAGGGAGTTTATACCTTCAATAAAAGAGATAATAACTCCAGATATAACAAACGAATCCTTTATTACTGATGAGCTTGAAAATCAGAAGTTGGAGTTAGATGATGGCAAGCAAACACAAAAGACTAATGGCACTTGTAAAGTCTCTAAATTGGAGAATTCTGACGCTTCGAAATTGATTCAAACTGCGAAAACAGAGGTTCCTAATTGTGCATTAACAATCGATGGGATGCAAAGCAATCAAAATTACCCAAGACATGTCCCCGTGCACGTTGTTGATGGGAGTAGTACTCAAAATCCATCCCCAGATATGGTGTTTCAAAACTCTATATTTCAGCCGATAGGAGGGGTTAATGGGAAACCTAATCTTGTCACCACTTCTGCTACATCAAACATAAGTGAAAGTCAAAATAACACAGCACGGTCTTCTATTCATCAATCATTTCCTCTGTGTCCCCTCTTCACACAACATAATCAGGATGATTACCATTCTTTTCTTCACATATCCTCCACATTTTCAAGTCTTATTGTGTCTACCTTGCTGCAAAACCCTGCAGCTCATGCTGCAGCAAGTTTTGCTGCTACATTTTGGCCCTATGCAAATGCAGAAACTTCCACTGATTCTCCTGTGTGCACTCCAGGTTTTCCATCTAGACAAATTGGCTCACCTCCAAGTGTGACAGCTATTGCAGCTGCTACAGTAGCTGCTGCAACCGCATGGTGGGCTGCCCATGGACTGCTTCCTTTGTGTGCTCCACCCCATACAGCTTTTGCCTGTCCTCCTGCATCAGCGACTGCAGTTCCATCAATGAATATTGGTGAATCACCACAAAAAACAGAACAAGGAGAGATTAAACCACAAAATCCTCCTCTGCAAGACCAGATAATAGATCCAGAACAATCAGAAGCTCTGCAAGCTCAACATTCAGCTTCTAAGTCACCAGCTGTTTCTTCACCCGAATCTGAGGAGAGTGGAGATGCCAATTTAAATACTTCATCAAAGGCTACTACAAATCATGAGATGAACCAAACAATTTCTGAGAACCCGGATTCCAACAAAATGAAGGGCAGGAAACTGGTAGACCGTTCCTCATGTGGTTCCAATGCAACCTCTAGCAGTGAAGAGACTGAGCTACTAGAGAAGGATGAGAAAGAAAAGGAAGAGCCCAAAACACTGGAAGAAAACCTTTTAGCTACTGAGACTAATAATCGTCGTAGTAGAAGCATTAGCAACCTTACTGATTCATGGAAGGAGGTCTCTGAAGAGGTATGACTGTATATCTTATGATGAAATATAAATATAATGTATGCATGTATTGCTTCTTTCCTCATGCCACTGTTATTTTCAGGGGCGTCTTGCCTTTCAGGCTCTATTCTCCAGAGAGGTGTTGCCACAAAGCTTTTCACCTCCTTATGATTTGATAAATCAGGATCATCAGATAGACAGAAACAGCTTCAAGGATAACAAGCAAAACACAGACTACAAAGATGAAGACCTTGAAAGCAAGAAATGCAGTTCTAATTGTGATGGGGTGCAGAAAAATCTGCCACTAGTCAAAGATAACAGTGAGGAGGAGGGACTGCTATCTATAGGTCTTGGACAAGGAAGGCTAAAGACTCGTCGAACAGGATTTAAACCTTACAAAAGATGTTCGGTGGAGGCCAAGGAAAACATGATCGGAACCGCCTGCAACCAAGGTGAAGAAAAAGGTCCTAAGAGAATACGCTTGAATGAGGAGGCTTCAACTTGATGCTTGATATATGCATGCAAACCACACAAAGAAAATCTTTAGTTTTGCATATATCATTTAAGTCCCCCTCTTTTGGTGTCTGTATTGCTTATTTTCTAATCTTGCAGCTCACGAAACTTGTCGTGTAGATGTGTGTACCATATTAAATTACTGTGTACGCTGTTTTACTATCTTGGACTGATAATGCTGTTAAGAACTCCGCTAAATAGACATAGATAAGAAACATTAAGTATTGTTTGAACCCTGAACATTAAGTAATTTATGATCCATTATTCAGCCTCTTTCCACGTTTTACTTGTAATTGTTTTACATCAATCTATGAACTATTTTTTCTTTTACCAACTCTGCCCAGGCTGAACCGAATTTTCTCGTACTACCTCCTGTTTGTTTTTTGATGTAATGGATGCATTACATTGCTTTCTTGGACTGATGTTACTGCAGTTAAAAACTCGGCTAAAATAGTTAGACAAGAAACATTAAGTACTGTGTGATCCTTGATCATTTAGTAATTTATGATCCTTCTTTCAGTCACTTCCACATTTTAATTTTAGTTGTGTGACATCTGTGAATTATTTTCCTCTATTACAAAATCTGCTCAGATTGAACAAAAATTTCTTGGACAGGATGTGCTTGTATGTTGGCTGTGGCAGTCAATATACTATTTTCCTCAACTGAAGGATTTTCCTGTGCATTTAACTCCACTTTTTTAATATAAAATATCAGTGATAAATCTTGCAATAGTAACAGAAATTTAGTGCCTTTTCTAACTAGTTAGACATTGTAAATGATTTGATTTGATTTGGTGTATCACAATAGTGAAGTTATGACTATTTTCATTACAAGATAGTCAGTAATTCAAAAGATTACTTCATATTTCGTTTATTGTACTAAGCATTGTATATATTACAATTTACAAACTTGTAGCAATAAAGTCAGCAGGTTAAGCTTACCGAAAGGAACTGGGTAAAGTCACTTGTTTAAACAATAATAACCTGCCTTTCATGCAAATGCTCTGAGGATATGCACATTCAAATAGGTAACACTAGCCTGTTTGAAGGACGGAGTGAGGATATTCCATGCACATGATGCTGCAAACGGAGTGAGGATATTCCATGCACATGATGCTGCAAATGCCGCAAGTTCGTTGCTTTTTGAATTATCTAATCCATGACCATAGCAGGATGGATCCCTTGTTTGATTTGCAACTCCAGTTTCCATGTCAATCCTCTTTGAAGAGCTGAAAACTCTGCTAGTGGAATTATCTTGCACAGATGCCTCGAAGAGACCAGAAAAGACTTCCAATGTTGTGGTATGAGGATCGACTACTAGGACGTAATCTTTCTGAGTGGATTCCATTAAGTGAGAAACTGAATAGAAAAGTGGAGTTGAGGAATTGGCAGAAGGACAGGCAGGAAGCAATGCAAGAATGATAATACAAAATATTCAGAAAACAGCATGAGTATACCTTAAAGATTGGTTCGACAAATGGACACCACAACAAACAGACTTCCCCTGCTTATCCCTCGCAGTATTTGAAGTGACCTCTAGACGTAAAAGGTTTCTGCAAAGATCCAAGTAATCAGAACGTAGTTCAGTGGATGTCAAATTTTTGAAAAATATGCAACACAAAAATGAAATGTCAGGGTGAAAAGGATGTTTAAAAATTACAATGGAAAAGACAAAGAATTGTCATTTTCGTTTTTAATTCTGAGAATAAAAAAATATCATTTTTTATTCAAACTTCATATCGTAAAACCAATTTAAACTGTTTAGAAAAGATAAAAAGAACAAATATTTGCAAGTACAGTCTAAACGTAGTACTGATTTTCATCACCTTCTTGGCATCTTACTTTTTTGGTTTTGGCCCTTTTGAGTGCCACGCTACTGTGAATGAACCCTACCAAACAATCCATCCAAATTATGAAGCTATGTCCATGTTCATGGATGCATCACCAGTTCTTGTTGGGATGAAAAGAAACCATCTTTGATGTTAACAGCTAGAGATAGAGAGGGGACGAACAAGTGATTAGGAAAATGTGCACACACACACTTTCATTACAAATGTATTGGAGTATTCAAGTTTTTATTCGCCTTCCTGAGTTCTGTATCAAGGATTTGATTCTGCGACTATAATTAAAGGTGATTGCTCGGTTTGTAACTCCGTCCACATGGGCAAGTTTGAGATGTTGGTTCAATCTGCCAAAAATAATATAATTACGTTTTTTAGTTCAGCTTGCCCCCGCGTAGCCCACGAACCACGGTTAAACAGGATGGCCCACGGGAAAATAAAATCATTTGAAAAATATACATAATTAATAATAAAACAAAAATAACTAAAATAATATTTTATTAAGGGTCAACAGAAATTTAGCAGAGGAATTTCTTCTCTAAAACTAAGAGATCTCCTTAAATAAATTACCAAAATAATATTTTATTATCGTAAAAGTGCTGAATTCGCATAAGCTCAAATTAGATCTTGTATCATTTATGTCAATTTATTGCAACCTTTTGCAAGCTATTACTTGATAATAATTAATAACATTTAATAATTCTATGAATATATTAATAAAGTAAGAAGCAAATAATTAGCTAAAATAAGACAATATACAAAAGGATAAATGACATTATTATTTTTTAATGATTAATTATTAAGCTTTAAATATATTTTTGGTCACTATAAAATAATTAAATTTTAATTTCGGTCTATGTAAAAAATTCTCTTCATCCTCCCTTTAAAATTTAGATTAATTATTTTTAATCTCTATTATTATATGACCATTTTTAACTACTTGTTTATTTATTAAAATATTAAGTGATTCTTTTTAAGTGTTCTCACAAATGTTAATGATATCATGTTAATGTACGATTTATAGGTTCTTAAAATAAAATGTTATTTATATACCTTAAAATCATCATTAGGGATAAAAATAGTGATTTTATATTTTAGAGAGGTGAAAATCAAAGAAAAGATATTTACATGACCAAAATCAAAATTTACTCATTTTACAAAGACAAAAAAAATTTATAATGACTAAAAATAATGTTTGCATATTTTAGAAGGATGCAAAACAAAGAAAAAAAATTTAAAGAGATCAAAATCAAAACTTATTAATTTTATAAGGACTAAAAAATATTTAAACTAATTATTAAATATCTTTTAACACATCAATTAAATATTAAAAATCATAATAAAATAAAATAATTATTAAAATTAAATTAATTTAAAAAAAAATATAATAGTATACCAATTTTAACGTACAAAATTGTGATAATTAAGTACATAAAGAGAGTCAATCCAAAATACTAGTTAAATAAATCGGAACGTCTCATGTCTTAAATATCATATTAAACTTAAATATCGATCTATTAAATGAAAGAATCTCATGATTTAGATATTATATTGAGCTTCTTATTTTATTTATGTTGGACTCTCAACTAGAGGACCGATTATTAAGATTTAACTGTGTGAGGAGAGTCAATCTAAAAGGACTAATTCATTTGGTGAAAAAGTATCATGACTTAAATATGAACTTGAACTTCTTATTTTATTCAATATGTAACGAGTTACACAACTCGTATTAAAAAAATGCTTGCATTCTAAATAGGTCTCATTTTATAGGACCTGCACAAATTACTGTTTTCCTCCCTTGAATGGAAAAACTTTTTGTGAAATTACTTTTTTGGTGAACGTAACATTAGAATTCGGAAAAGCCACAAAATAAGCGTACACTTAGAAATTAAGTACAGTATTTAAGGTGAAATCTAAACTCAACCTCATGCTATAACACAAACATAAAAAAATAAAAAATAAAAAAACTAGCTAGGGCACTTAACTTATTTGGTATATATGAAAAATATACTAGATGTAACTTAAATGTATGAGGGACAAAAAATCTACATATATTTATTACTAAATAATAAATAATATATTAATTATTATAGAACCAAACAAACAGCTTATTTTAAATTACTAAAGTACATAAAAAAATATAAATAATATTAAGAATGTCTAGTTGTAAGAATGGACGAGTTTTATCTTCCATATTATGTATTCTTAATATATTGTATAAGTAACTCAATATTTGATTCAAAACTTATATTTGAAAGTATCTATTAAATTTTGACTAATAAAAATTAATCTAGTCGAATCATGACTAATCTCAATTTAATTAAGTGCGTCTAATTAGGAGTAGAAACTCACCTATCAATTGATTCACCATATTTAAAGTTGAAAACTTACATAGGACGTATCTTACTGCTCGAATTAGTAAACATTGGTGCAATGTGTTCAACGAATTAAAATTAAATCTGAAAAAAAACTCATAATATTAAAAAAAATGGATAATTTAATCGCATCGATTGTGTTAATAATATGGTTAAGTTTTTTTATATTGAGATTTATTTTTATTAATACTCTTATTAAAATATACAAGTACATCAATAATGAGGATGACATCTTAGTTGCTCCAATATTTATGGTAGTGGAGACACCTTTAAAGATACTTTGACATTATAGTTAAAAGAGAGTCTAGGAATGTGAATAAGATAGAAAGATACCTGATGTCTCATATATAGGTAATTGATCTTATCTCTAGATTTAAAGAGAATGTTGTATGATATCTTAGAGATATATTTTAGTATTACAAAGAGATATTGTTATTAATCAGCAGAGATATTGTTCCTAATAATTGAAAATATTTCATTAGGTGAATATAATGTGCTTGATTATGATATTCTGTAAGATATTTGAGCCAAGATATCATGTTAGCCATTAGGAGTTAATCACCTAGGATTTCACTTTATAATGATGGGTTAGAGTCGCAATGTGGACGAGTAGGAAAAGGTCAGCTTAGTCTGGTCGAGTTGAGTAGTACATAAGCCCCCAAGCTTCGAGCTATTTAGAGCGAAAGAGTTATGCTTAAGTCGCTTTGTTTCTTGTCCGTGTCAAGGTAGGTTGTCCAACTTGAAGCTTGGAGAGACTTGTATTACAAATTGAAGTGTGTTATGCATGCATATGTGGTTTATGCGTTTTATTGGTAATCAGTTTTTGTGTGTTTGTTATTGATAGTAAGCTTGCGTGTTGTGATAATGACCAAGCTAGCTTGTACATGCTTAGCTTACTAGAAGTGCTAAGTTTGTAGTAGTGAGTAATATGTAATCTTTTAAGATGACACGCTAAGTTGTAATCATAATGGTAAAGTGATTAGCTTATGATTGTAACTGTGAAGATTTTGGAAGCTCATAGTTAATCAACTTGTGATCTAACAAAAATATCAACTTGTGATCGTAATGGTAAAAATATCAACTTGTGATTGTTTTAGTTAAAAAGCTTAGAAGCTTGAAATAATCAGCTTGTGATCCTAATGGTAAATAGATCAACTTGTAATTGTAATGGTAAAGAGATCAACTTGTGATAGTAATGGTAAAAAGATCAATTTGTGATTGTTTTAGTTGTAAAGCTCAAAAGTTCTAAGTGATCAACTTGTGATTGTAATGGTAAAGAGGTCAACTTGTGATCATTTTAGTTGAAGATTTTAAGAGCTTAAAGTGATCAACTTGTGATTGTTTTAGTTAAAGAGCTCAGAAGCTTGAAGTGATCAACTTGTGATTGTAATAATAAATAGATCAACTTGTAATTGTTTTAGTTGAACAGCTCGAAAACTTGAAGTAATTAGCTTGTGATCGTAATGGTAAAAAGATCAACTTGTGGTTGTTTTAATTGAAGAGCTCAGGAGCTTGAAGTGATCAATTTATGATCGTTAGGAGTGTAAGTAGGTACTAGTAACCTGTGAACTTGAATATTGCTTCAAACTAATCTAATGCATTTGGATTAGATTTTTTTAATGTTTGGATCAAACTCGACCCAACCCAATCAAAACCCAATGCAGTACGTATTAGGTAACGAATTTTTGTATTTTTTGATATGTGATTTAACTTAATCTAGTCATATATAATTAAAAAAATATAGTATTTAAATGATTACTTGCTCTAAAGATAATACTCTTTACCTAACAAATTTTATATGTGTGGAATCCTATGTTATCCATTGGATTCAATTAGTTGTGAAATGAAAATTCAACCATGCCTGATGATGTGATGTGGGAGTTCTCGGGGTCAAATATCTCCATATAAACTTCCATATTTATTATTATTTTTATTTTTATTTTCTTTATTAATGAGTTTAATATATTTGATATATCTTAGTGTACCCTCCGAGAATTTTTTTGAACGAAACTTATCTCGAAACGACATGTAAGCTCTTCGTGCTTTAGCGTTTGATACTAGGAGGCAAGTGAACCCTCCCATCATTTTGCCAATAGGAGACCCCTTAAACTTAAAGGCTTTCATACCGAGTAAGGATCTCCCACAATTTTACCTATAGGAGACTTCCGAGAGACTTTCATACGGAGGAAGGATATGTCTTGGGATTTCCTCAAAGCTTTTGGTTTTCTATCTAATACATGGAACCTTCTTTGAGTTCACATTAGAAGAGAGCATTCAAAACCAAATGATACACTATAAATGTGATAATTTTATATATCTCACCTAACCTTAATCACTACTCTTTTGGGTCACAACGGTGGAAAAAAACAAAGGAACATAATTATATATGTTGACAATTAGAGGTACGAACATAATCACTTGTTGGGTTGGCAATTAGATATAGTCCTATATATATAATATATATATCCAGCAAAAGATGCCGATTTAAGTAAGTAATATTTAACTTGTGTAGCCTAATTAGAATTAGAATTAACTAGAATGCAGTTAAGTAGAAATCGTAATTGACAGTTGACAACACTATGTGTCCATTGAGTTACGTCCTGGCATCGTTTTCTCCAGCAGCATAGGATGGGTCCCTAACCCTAATATTAATTACTTAGCTTTCACTTTTTCTAAGCTACGCATCCATATCCATATTCCATACAGATCTGACATTCCGTAATCCTTAAACTATGTTGCTCATAATTTTATTACATGTACACGGACGTTAGGAATAATAAGGAAGTAAACTACCACTATTGACCAAGGTATTATTTTATTTTTTTAGTTCAAATTTTGGATGTGTAGTTGTGTAA